GGTTTAGTGGACATGGTGGTGTTGGGTTGACGGTTGGACTCGATGATCTTAGAGGTCTTTTCCAACCTCAATGATTCTATGATTCTATTCTATGATTCTATAACATTAAAGCAAAAGCAAGTTCTGTCTGATGTGCTTGAATGGGAGATTTTGGAAAGCGATGTGTGTAAGAAAGTGATGTTCTTTGCAAATTAGTCATAGTCTCCTTTGAGTTTAAACAAAACATGAGCCCAGCGTCCATGCTCACTTCCCAATGTGAACACCAAGTACTTCAAAGGATGATCTCTTGTGAGGGAGAAGGAAACCCAAGATAACTCGCTACTGACAGAATCTTAAGGATTTTTCTATCTGGAATAGAAGATTTTTGTAGCTTGACAGAAAATCAATGCTTTCTCATTCTTATTAGGCCTGTAGCAGCAGCATCTATAGACATCTCTACACCAGGGAAAATTTCATTTAAAGTTCCCATCATTGCAGCCATACTGCTGCTAAGAAATCTTGGGATTCCTCATGGAGATGAGGTTCCCTTAGTCCTCCTTGTGCTAGCAGCATCAGGATGTCTCGTCAAGGGCAGGTTCCCATGATCAGATTTGTTGCTAACTCTTTAAATTGTATCTCCTTAGAAAAAACTGACCTGTGTTTTAAGTATGGCACTGGGAATGCAGCTTTGTCAGTGTTAAATCTTTCAATATTGCCAGTATCTGTACATCTGCAGGAGTGGTAAATACAATGATTTACATTGACAAAAGTCCTAGAACAACATAGCAGAGTATAATCACGTGTGTTTTGGCAAAACACATATGTTACCACTGGGAAATCTTTTGCTCATACTTGAAGTTCTGGGAAGGTAATCAACTAATTTTGGCAATTGTTTGAGTAGGAATGTTCTTGTTTGTACATGAGCCTATCACAAAGGCATTCTCATTATAGGTTGAATATGAACGCATGAAAGCTAATGGCAATAACTAATAAAAGTAATAAGAGGAGTGAGAGATTATGGAGAGGGTGTTTCTTTTAAAAGAAAGCATCATTCAACTTCAACTGCCTGCTGAGCGCTTCCTTGGAGGGTAGCTCGACACTTTTTGTGTCTGACCCAGGAGTCTGAGCACCGTGAGACCAGAGTGGCAAGAATCAGGTTGTGGTACAGTTTCTTAAAAGATGAAGGAGAGAACGGGCAGCCCTTGAAGAAGCCTAGCATTCAGAATATGTAAGGCGTCTGAAAATTGGAAAGGAGCTGAAGTGAGTTACTAAGCAGAGCTAGGGACCAACGTAAACTACCAAGTATAAATGTAAGCCTGAATTTATCAGCTAAAGCCAGGCACATTTGAGTGTGTGTGCATGAGAGATTCTTGCTAAAAGCAAAGAGCGAACGAGCAATCCATATCATTTTGCTGTCAAATGTATTTGAAAAATAGAAAACATAGGTCGGATATATGTTCTGCAAATAGTTATCAACGGTGTTCCAGAAGTATTTGGTTTGGAGGGTTCCTTGGAATCCACCATTCAAATCTACGTGTGTCTTAAGTTATCTTGAAATTGGCTGTCATTCTATAATACGGTAAAGTGAGGGCATTGTGGAGGTTAACTTTAGCCTGGCGAAGCCTGTGATCCTGTTGTTCTCACTGGAGAGGATCTTCCAAAGGGGTTAATTCAGCATCTCTAAAAATGAGTGTTTTGCTCATGTTTTAGAGGCACTACCTCTCTCTGTGGTCTACAGAAGGGTAAATTTAGTCTGTAGTCCTTTGAACACCCCTTATTCACTGGTATATTTAAGCAAATCCTCAATTCCAGAAAGGGATACCTTTTACCTCTCAGTATATGGATACTAGCCTGATGATTGCAGTTGCATAAATGAGGACTACCGAGAAGGGTTCCAGAGTCTGCTTTTTGATTATATCTGTTGTCTTTTGTACGGTTTTAAGAAATTTCATTGCATCCTCTTGACTCCACTGAACAAAACTGTAAATCCACCAGTGCAATGGTGTAAAATACTCGGGTTTTCTTTTTGCAATCCTACTGCATGAGGGAAGCTCCTAGTAATTGCAGGAAGAAGCGAGAAACTTCAGGGTCAGGTAGCTCGCCACCTCTTAACTGATGCTTTACCTAGAACAAAATGTAGCAGGAGAGTAAAGTGCCGGAGCTGCAGCAAATTAGGCTCAGTGGCAGCAGTTGGAGTTGCAGGATGAAAGCAAAATATGGCCCATTTGTCTGGAAGTCTCTTTGGGGTTCGGTGGTATGAATGGTGCTCTAAAATGTTATTACACGCTATTAGAGAAAGATTCAGCTCAGCCACTTGCTCTAATGCATGCTGTGACAACCGAACTGTGTATTTAAAGGGTGTGCTGTTAGGGCCCCTCTCTTGTGTTCACTCACCTTGTATTTATGCTTATTACTGTTGGTGATGGACAGTCATGTAAAGGTTAGTCTTCACAGCAGATATTCTTCTGTGCTAATCTTCTTCGTGGGTTTTTGTTGTAGCCATACTTTGCCTCCTCACTGATATTCCCCCCCCATTTTTGCACCTTAATAATCTACTGTCACCACGCACATGCTTTTGAGTCTCGTAATTGAAGCAGACCCATAGCTGACTCCCACACCAAACTCCCAGCGTTCAGCCGTTGTGGCAACCTTGTTATTCCACTTGGTTTTCAAATGCCACATCGTCACACTGAAAAGCTCACACTCTCTCTTGTAATTTTTTTTTTTCCCCCCCCCTCCCCCTTGTAGAGCACGATGAGTGTGGCAGCGAACAGCATAACTGTGATGAGAATGCAATCTGTACTAACACTGTCAGGGGACATAGCTGCACCTGCAAACCCGGATATGTGGGGAACGGGACCATCTGCCGAGGTAAGTCTGTTACTCTACAAACACCGTGAAAGTGGCAGACTCTATTAATATTTTCTGACAGTCACCTACGTTCTGGTAACTTGTGATGGTTGGATTCTGTCAATGATTCGCTGTAAGATTTATCATCTGGCAAATGGAGTATGCATGGAGATGATGAGAATTGATTTGTGCATAACTTCTTGGCCAGAAGGAAATATTTTTGGAATGGTAGAAGAAAAGTACTTTTCATTTACTGTCACCGAATACCGTCATTTGAGCTAGTACCACTGAGCCTTTAAGTGATGTTCATTGTTATAAACTGTGGATGGTATGTGCTATCACCTTTGGCTTTTAAAATTTAATCAGATGCCTTTTAAATTAGGATAATTGTCTTTTATGCCAACATCATATGGTTGTCCTTTGACTACTCACATCACAAAAGGGATTTTTTTTTTTTTTTAATCTTTACCTTTAAACGTGTATTTTGTAGATTTCTCAGTTACGTAAACAAGAAATACTGATAGCCAGCCACGCTTTCTGTGAAGTACTAAGTCATTTATTGAGGGTGGTTTTTTGGTTTTGTTCCTGTAGAGAAAGAGAAGCAAATACATTATATAAAGACAGAGGAGGGAATATATTAATTAGTTGGCTTAGTGAGGGCTGTGTCATGAAGTACTATTGAGTTGTAACTCATGCGTTTATCAATTATATTTGTCTCATAAAAAGCTATTTTTTGTCTTGTCTGGGATTGTATACTTTCTGACTTTCTAAACAGAATTGCAGTAATAGAAAACTAGCTATTAATTTTTTTGAAATGAAACTATTGAAATTGAGGAATGTACTGGCTAAAATATTCTGTACTTAGTTTGGGGGCACAAGAGACTGGATATTAATTTTCCAGAATGTTGTAAATTAGCCAAGCAATTCCTTGAAGGAGAATGAAGGTTGATGTCATTCTTGTTTCAAGCTTGAGTTCTTCACCAAGATTAGCCTGTCATCTGCTGAATTAGCATGTACCATCTGATTGCTTTTTGATATGACTTTCTGTGGGTACTGTCCATCCGCACAAGAGTATCCCTGTATTTAAAACTGTAAAATGGTTTGTAAGGATTTAAGAAGGAATACAAGAATGTTATGAAAATAGTGGGCAGGTTAAACTTTGGTCTGTCTATATTGAAGATGAAGAGGTGATACTGGGGAGAACTCATTGTAGCATGTTTTCAGTCTTTGATTACAGTGAATGTGAATTGCAGTATAGGCAACGATAGTTTCAGGGAAGCCTGAGTGAACAGCCTGTCTCTGTTTGACTGTTTTTTGGTGGTGGTGGTTTGTTGGTGTGTTGGGGTTTTTTTATCTGAGGGTAACACAACAAGACAAACCCTTAATCATGTTTCTTTGAAGCAGGGATGTTTGGATTAGTTCATAAAAATCGTGTTTTCACACTGGTTTTCTTTGTTTGCAAACCTGGATATTTGGTTTAATGTGCCAAAAACGCAAAGCAAAGCTCCTACTGCATATTTATTAATCTAGTAATGTTGAAGTAATGAAATTGCACTGGAGAAATGCAAGAATGTTTTTTACCCTCAAAGTTCTGTTGAAATCTGAGTTGTGGATAAAATATATATTACGTATATTTTTTAGTATGCCTTGAATTGCACATATGAATGTAGTTACAGTTGCCTTTTTGAGATAGGTGTACATGGAAATAGAGGCAACAAAGTGCGTTCTTGCATTCTGACTGGGAAGCATAAATTGAAAAGAAAACTGGAGATTATAGGAAAGTGGTTTGCAGTCTAATAATTATAGGGATAAGAATAATCTGTCGCTACATGGAATAGTTAACTGCTGCAAACCAGCTAATATTAGAACTGTGTGCATTTTAGTAAACAGTAAAACACTCAACGTAAAGTAGTGGTCTGAGTGTCTCAGCCTGTGGTTCTGTGGTCACTTGAGGTGTTTACATTTAAGAAACATTCTCATTCTACCCATGGTAGCACCAGAAACATCACTTTTGCCCTCTTTTTTTTTTTTTTTAACCAAGTTTAACGGTGATACGTTGTGAGTGGAATCTGACTGAAAATGAATAGATAACAGGAAAAAATGACCAGTTACCAGTCACATAGGTTTCACTGCGGAAGTGCTAGGGTTCTGTGCACAAGGAGAGGTGTGAACATGTCAGGACAGCTATAAACTGCTTATGTTGTCTTCTAATAATTTTGGGGCTTTATCTTTGGGCAATATAAATTGGAAAAAATAGATATAAGCCAGGTGATAAGTTTAACGTAATACCGTCTGAAGATATGATAAACATTTCTCTTGTCCTTGAGTCATTTATAAGTACTTTATAAATGATTGCATGTTATACATGTGCAGGTACACAAAACAGTTGTTCCAACTACTACTGAAGTCACATCTCTGTAGTTCAATAAGAAATCTTATTAATATTGTCCAGCAAAACCATGAAAAGAGAAATGATAATTTTATGATGAGAGAAAAGGACTGGCTTTGTGCCTGATCCTACAATCCATGTCAACAATCTATTTTACCAATATTATAAAAAATAAAATCAGAGAAATGTTCCTCTTTGATTTTACTGGATAACACTGTGATAGTCTTTATAAAAAAAACCCAGAATGCTGTTATTTGTATTTTAGAAAAGAAAACATATGTGTAGTTAAATTAAATTGCATGGTGAACTGCTGGTAAATATAATAAAATTACTCTGGCAGGAATTTGTGATGTTTGCATTTTTTTGTGAAAAGTATGGAGAGATAAAAAGGACAGACTGATAGCTGGAATAACACTGTGATAGTCTTTATAAAAAAAACCCAGAATGCTGTTATTTGTATTTTAGAAAAGAAAACATATGTGTAGTTAAATTAAATTGCATGGTGAACTGCTGGTAAATATAATAAAATTACTCTGGCAGGAATTTGTGATGTTTGCATTTTTTTGTGAAAAGTATGGAGAGATAAAAAGGACAGACTGATATCTGGATATGAATATTACGATTGCTGGGGATTTAGAAATCAGAAAACAAATGTTGAAGAGGAAAGCAAGTATTTTAAAAAAATATCTGTATAATCAGGCTGTCACACTTCTTGAGTAGAAAAATAAATTTCATGCATAAGGAATTGCTTTACTGTAAACGTGGTAGACTAGACTATGTAATTAAGGACTGGATTGTGTCAAACTAGATGTGCAAACTGTCATGAAGGAAGGTGGTGGAAAAGGGCGCAGACCGAGACCAAATGCACTTCTGCATTAAAATAGATACTGCCATAGTTGCAGTGACATAAAAATGGAAAGAGAAGCGGAGATGAACACAAGAAAATCTTTATAAACACATAGCTACCAATATATGGACAGTGAGACCATATAATAGCGATGAGACAAGTAAGACTTATTTCCTATGGATGCTCTCCATTTCACTGTAAAAGTGGGCTTTAGCACCTCACAAAGACACTGAAATTTTGGCAATAGATCGGAACAGAATGAGGCTGAGGTGAGCTGAAATGACAAGGCAGGACAATGCTGTGCCATCACCATTAATAAATTTGCAGAGTGCTGGACCCAGAATCAGATAGATTATATCTTAGGATTTCTTCAGAAAATGAAAAATAAAATAGGGAAGTCTTTGCTGGAAGAAATTACAGCGTTAAAGGCAGAGGACAGAGGTATAACTAGTTGAATAGAGAGAGATTCTGGATCTACACATTTGTTAAGTTGCTCTTTTCTATGAAGGAAACTGAAAAAATTCAAAAGAACGACGAGTGATTCAGGAAATAGAAGAAGTTGTAGGTGGGTAACGGGAGACTCATACCACGCCCGTTTACTGGAGTTCTGTAAAGGAATTATTGAATTCGTAGAAGAGGGTGTGAAATAAGGACAGTTGTAACAATTTCACTAAACTTCAGTATAGGATTTAATAGTGCAGCATAAAGGCAATTAACAGGGTGGGAGGGAAAGGTGATAAAAATTGGTTTAGCAACTGAATGTTCTAGTTCAAAAAAAAAAAAAGAAAAAGGTGTGGGGGGGCAAATGAGTACCTGGTACAACATGGCACTTTGCAGTGTGCCTGTCAGGATGGACCTTGTGGGAAATCAGTGTTTAGTGGCAACGGTTAGATGGAAGAAGTCTTAGTTTCCTATGACAACCAGGTTTCTGAATAACCCGTCACCTCTAGACAAGGTTGTGTGTGCGAGAGTAAAACTCTGTCATGTATAAAATGAGTAAAGCTCACTGTCATGGCTCTAGCTGAAGAACCAGGGATATTGAATACAGAGATAAATACCGCATTTAGACTATAGAGGCCCTTGGTCTCTGTACTGTTGCAGTGCAGGAAATCTTGGCAGGGCTTGAATCTGGGAGGCTGGAAAATGTGTACAGGGAAAATGTCTTTCTCTTCTTTTTGTCTTGATAAGTTCTAGCTCCAGTTCCACTTGGCAGCCTTGCACCGCGTGGTGTGGAAGTGATATGTTGAAGTGGGATGTGCCATTTGTTAAAACGTAAAGGACCTCGTGCTCCACCATCTACTTTACCTTAGCGAGATGGAAGCTAGAGAATATTTGCTGTAGGACGTACAGTCCTACTGTTTAGCAGAAGTTTATTATAGAGCTTGCGCCTTGTACCACTGACTGAAGTCAAAGAAAGGAGCCAAGGCATATTGAAACATCAGCAGGTTTCCTAAAATAGTCTGTGACGTTTTAGATTAAATGCCTTAAAACAAACAAACAAAACCCCGCCCACCAGATTTTGTAGGGGCTATAGATCTGACTTTTCAGCATGAACAATGTGCAAGTCACCATCAGGGTTTTGTTAAAGTCAGTTGTTTTCTTTTGTACAAGGAGACCTAGATGTAGTATACAAGCCTTGTCCTTGTAGTATATGCGCTCTTGGTATTTTGTTCCAAATGTTTGTTTTACAGTATAAATTCTGCCCATAGAAGTCCTTATCTATTATCAGAAAAATAGAAGTGGCCTTGAATATACTCGGATGGTAAACGGGCAATTCTTTCCAAA